GTATTTTCAAATAAAGAGGTATCATAAAGTAGATTAGAAACTGGCACATGCAAGCAATCTAGGACGATATTCGAGATAATTCCTAAGAGAATGGTAAGCACTAAGAGAGGCAGCAGAACATAAAACTCTCGCCGGTTAAGGTCCGAGAGTGGTTTAAGATATGGGGAGAATGACCCGAAGCAAACACGATTATAGAGCCAAATAGAGTAACTTGCCACGAGGACCACCGACGAGGTGGCCAAGAGAGTTGCGGCAGGGTTGCGATGGAACGACCCAAGAAAACAAAGGAACTCCCCAATGAAGTTGGCTGTTAGGGGTGCGGCCATATTCGCCAAGATGAAGATAAAGAAGAGGAACGCGAAAACCGGCTTCATGGCAGCTACGCCTCTGTAGTAGTGAATTATTAAGCTATGATAGCGATCATAGAGAATCCCAACACAGATGAAGAGCGCCGGAGAAACAAGACCATGACCCAACCCAAGGTAGATTCCACCCTCGATACCCTGTACACTATTAGAGAATACTCCTAAAACACATATTGCAAGATGCCCAATGGATGAGTAGGCAACGATACTCTTTAAGTTGATTTGCCGAAGCGTACTGAAACAAGAGTAAACTATGCTTATTACACAAAGAGTGTAGACCAGCGGGGTAAAGTAGTGAGAACCATCAGGTAGAATGGGTAACAAGATACGGAGAAAAGCGTAGATGGGCATTTTTAACACTAGGGCAGCTAAAAGTATTGAGCCCGCTAACGGAGCTTCGGTGTGAGCAAGAGGCAGCCAAATGTGGAGAGGAAGCAATGGAGTTTTAATTGCTAATGCTAGGAAGATGCCTAACCAGAGTAGTCGCTGTGCAGAAGGCTCGATGTACATATGAGATAGAACCAAAATGTCCGTTGACCCGCTAGCCAAGTAAATAGTTATAAATGAAACTAGCATAAAGAGTGAACCGAATAGAGTGTATAGGAAGAGCATGAAAGCAGCTCTAACCTTCTGCTGGCCAGTTTCTAATCTACTTTATGATACCTCTTTATTTGAAAATA